ACCCAAGAACACTCTTGTGTGCGTCTGTTACCTACTACTGGGCTTCAGATTTAGTGGAATTGAGAACAGGCGGATATAGAACGTGATCTTACAAGCTTGTTCTTTGACCACACGGAAATGTTGTTTATAGCGATAATCCAGCAGCACGATATGTCATCGGAGTTGGCTGTTTCGGTCTGCCCAGTAGCGATGGCCAATCCACAACTTGAATTCAACAAGGCACAAAACACGTATACCCCTTATTACCTCAGTCTGATGCTTTTTTTGATCTTGTATTTCCTAAAAAATACAAAGCAGGGAGGAAACCTAACAGGGCTGCATGAATCATGGAGTAAGTTGACTAATAATAGCAATCAGACAGATGTTGAATACCAAAATAAGCCTAGGAGTGTCCGGAGAATATACTTTACTTCGTGGACATCCGGCACCGTGCAATCCTTGGTATTTGTTTCCCTTTATCTGTACTTCGAGATCTCGGACCACGACGTTTGTGTCAGCAATACACACCCTTAGCCGAAACGTCATGGTTTTATCCTAGTCAAACTCATGATGTTGATATTTGACCATACTTTCCAACAAGCTGTGTTGTGTTGAAAAAGTTAAAAGTTTGTCGACGATTCATTGCTGTTCTCTTCGGCCTTCTGTTGGTCTTACCTTTTTATACTTCCATCCCGTCAACAACAATGAGAGAGTTTTCATTTCTTGGAGTTAGAGGGCCGATTCACACACGCGCTGAACATTATCGTCTCCATTGCAGGAACGTGCATTGCTTGATCAGTGATTTAATGCACTCAGACAGCATTTCGGTTACCGTGATTCCAAAGTGACTTTTCCAAGATAAGCTACTGTACACTTCATAATAAGAACAGAAATTTAGTCTCGTAAGATGTGGTGTGGGTGACGTATGAGAATACTTTTCAGAAACCCGTCCTTTTGGCAAGTGACTGGACCGAACGTCGATCCTTCCTATCCATCCGTTTCTAGTCGAGATGTTAGCAGTTCATTCAAATTTTTAAAAGAATGGGACTCAAGCTGTCCTCCTCGAGTGCAATGAAGACCCTCACCCAAATCTTCATGACCAATCTACACACAGTGGTCACACAATGGGTGCTGGTTGCTTAAGTGTGGTAAACCCTCCACGTATAAAGTTTTAACCACTGCTGCTGCCATTGCTGGACTTAGACGATATGGTCTTACAAGTGGCCCATGGCCCAACCATACGCTTCCATTTTACACAGCCATTGCCGAAGCAGGACTATGTCTTCCTCCTTAATGGCCGCAACAGCGGGCACTGCGGCTGTCTTTTTCTGTGTAACGTGCACCGTTGTCTCGCCAGTCATCTGGGAGTTTTCGGCAGGTGTCCTGAGTACAGGTGGCGCCATTTCCCCGGTAGTCCATGAGCACTTGAGTTTCATTGGAAGTCGAAGGCCGAAAATAATGCACTAATGCATCCCGTTAGTTTCTGCTTCATATGTCCTACGTTATTTCCATTTGTGGGTGGGAGAGTTGCTTCCTGATTCTCCTCCTGCCTCGTCCTCCCCACCCGCTGCATTAGTACCCTTGTCAGGACATGTGCGGCACACGCGATTGTCGAAGTACCCCAAGGTCTGCACTGGGTACTAGTCTTCTTTCTCGAAAAAACTACTCAGAGATGTCGTTCACAATGTCTGATATTTGCTTCCAAACCTCCTCAAAACGGCAGGTCCCATTTCAGTGTAATCGTATATAAGGGGCCGTTCGACGAAAATGTTTGTGTTAGAACTGCTGAATTTTAATCGTCATTAGCAACATACTTCTGCACAAAGCTCAAAGAGATTACTTTTTCGCAGTATCTCGCCAGGTGGATCAACTTATGGTTCTCTTCTTATGCTGTGGGAAGCAAGTCTAGTTCAG